AAGGTATGTCAACTGGGTAAAAGAAGGCCCGAGCAAATAATCCATATAAAGCTGTTAAAACCCTGGAAAGATAGACTGGCATTGACTATGGGGACTTTCCCTATAACTCTTAGGGGTACGGAGTTCCCTCTAGTCCCTGAGGTCACTATTCCCAACACCCTGTCTCTTTCCCAAAAACAGGAAGCTAGAGCCTTCCTCATAAGAAACGGAGAAATTTTCAGAATTGCCTGGTACAACTTCAGCTGTTCAGCATGATATTGGTACTGAACCTGGGGCCGTATCAAACTAAAACCCTATCGAATTCCTGAAGCTAGGAGAAAGGTCATCAGGGATGAAGTCCAAAGAATGTTGGAGTAAGACGTAATTTGAGAAATCCAATAGTGACTGGTCTAGTCCCATTGTATTGGTCCCAAAACCGGATGGCACCTGGAGATTTTGTAATGACTTCAGGAAGCTGAATTCGGTGACAAAATGTGACACGTACCCAATGCCTAGGGTAGATGAGCTGATACTGTAAAGCGAAAACAAACAAAAAGCGCACCAACCTTGCGCATTACCTCAGTAAGCCAAAATGTATTAATTAATAACAGAATACTACTCACAAACACTGAAGTATATCATGCATGTAAGTCCTCAAAGGGACTAAGGATAAAAGCAGCCTGCGCGAGTCCCAACAGAGGAGTGGACACTCAGGGAACAGCTGATGCGTTTCGGACGAACCTTCTTCATCAGAGCTTTCCTTCCTAGATGAGCTGATAGACAGACTCGGTAAGGCCCATTATCTGACCACAATAGAGTTCACCAAAGGATGTTGGCAAATCTCCATGACTGATCGCGCCAAAGAAAAGACCACGTTTGTGACCCTGGAGGGTTCTTTTCAGTATAAAAAGATGCATTTTGGGTTGCAAAATGCCCCTGCGACCTTTCAGAGGGCCATGGACAGAACCCTAAGACCTCACCAACAATATGCAGCTGCCTATCTTGAGGACATTGTAATACATAGCACTGATTAGGAGCCTCACTTGCCCCGTGTCCAGGAGGTCTTGGATTCCCTTTTCAAGGAAGGTTTTACAGCCAATCCAAAGAAATGTGCCATTGGGTTAGAGGAAGGTTTGTATCTGGGCTACACTATTGGTCAGGGAATCATAAAATCCCAATTAAACAAAGTAGAAGCCATCCAAGAATGGCCACGGTCAGCAAATAAGAAGCAGGTCAGGGCATTTCTGGGTATCATGGGGTACTATAGAAGGTTCATCCTGAATTTTGCCACCCTAGCATCTCCTCTGACTGACCTGACAAAGGGGAAAGACTCGGTAATGGTGAAATGGTGCACAGAAGCAGAGGAGTCTTTTAAAGTCTTGAAGAAGGCCCTTTGTTCACAGCCAGTGTTATACTCCCCCCGATTTTTCTAAAGATTTTTTTGCTGCAGACGGATGCATCTGATGTTGGCAGTGGAGCGGTATTGTCGCAGATACGCAATGGGGAAGAACACCCTGTGGTGTACCTGAGCAGAAAGCTCAATGAACATGAGAAAAAATATGCTGTCATTGAAAAGGAATGTTTAGCCATAAAGTGGGCCTTAGACACAGTAAGGTATTATCTGTTAGGACACCAATTTGAGTTGATAACTGATCATGCTCCTCTCAAGTGGATGGCTCAAAAGAAGGAAATAAATAGACGGGTGAACCAATGCTTTCTGGCCCTGCAGGACTCTGCCTTCACTGTAAAGCACAGGCCAGGGCTTAAGATGGGGAATGTTGATGCCCTTCTCGGGTTCATTCCTGTTGGGCCACAGGTGTTCCAACCCTGGGGTTGAAACAAGGGGGGGCAGGGATATGTGGCAGAGCTTCCGAAAGGAACCCTGGGAAAGTCCTGTTAGGGGTTTTTAGATCTCCCAGGTTCCTTTCCTATACCTTTAGGGATCTCTGATATGGTGTCCAGTGCAGGGTTTACCTCTCTCTATGGGCAATTAAATCCACCTGGGACCTGTAGCCAGAGCTCTCAGCCTGGGGATCAGACAAGTCCTGCCTGGAGAGCTGAAAGGTTGGTAGAAACTAACAAGCTGTGAATGTTGTGACTGACAAGCGGTAGGCTTGATCAGTCTGATAGTTAGGACCTGCATTACTGTGTGAGAGCTGGGATCTGGCTAGATTTTTGTTTGATATTTTCTTGCCCTGTTTATTTTGGTTAAACATAGGGGTGCACCGGAGTTACGGACGAAAACACCCCTATCGGCCGATATGGAAAAAAAGCACCGTTACAGGTGCCGAAAAAAAACCCGCCCGCCTGCCGCTGCCGCCACCAACTTCCGCTCGGTAGTTGTCAGCCTTACCTGAGAAACCATCAAACGATCCCGGCGCTGGGCATAGAGATTGGTGAAGGAAAGATGGCCTCCACTCATCTGTATGCCCTTGGAGGACCGGAGCGATGTCACTTCCGGCCATTTTTTTTTTTTGAAAAGCACTAGATCAATGCTTTTTTTTATTTAATGCTTTACAATATAGAGGAGAGATGTGCGGTCTTATTGACCCCATATCTTTCCATAAAGAGGACCTGTCGCTACTTATTTCTAACACAGGGGATGCATGCACTTCTTGTGATAGGAATAAAAGTGATTACTTTTTTTAAAGGGACAGTGCAAAAAAAACAACATAATATTTAAAAAAAAGTTTAAGGTTCCCCCTCCCCCCTGTGCTCACACGTAGTGGTGAATGCATACGTAGACCACGCCCACATATGTAAATGGGGTTCAAACCACAGGTGAGGTATCACCACAAACATCGGAGCAAGAGCAATAATTCTAGCACTAGACCTCCTCTGTAACATTACACTACTAACCTGTAGAACTTTTTAAAGTGTCACCCATGGAGATGTTTAAGTACCGCAGTTTGACGCCATTCCACAAGCGTGTGCAATTTTAAAGCGTGACATGTTGGGTATCTACTTACTCGCCGTAACATCCTCTTTCATATTTTACAAAAAAATTGAGGATATATTGTGGGGGGTTTTTTTTGTTGCTTTTTTAATCAAAGTATATTTTTTTCCAAAAAATATTCATTTTTTTTTTTTTAAAACTGCACGGTTTGGTTTTCGGCCAAGTACATTTAGAATTTTCGGTTTTGGCACTAGAAAACACCTTCACTGTTTGCCACTAATCTCACTGGATTTTTTACCTGTGCCTGAAAGACTGCTTACCCCAGGAAGCATATATCCTGGCTGCCTATCCCCAGCTCACAAAATGTTATAAATTGAGTTGCAGTTCAGTGAGTAAAATAAGTATTTGATCCCCAAGCAAAACATGACTTAGTACTTGGAGAAACCCTTGCTGGCGAGCACACGGGTAAGACATTTCTTGTAGTTAGTTACCAAGTTTGCACACATCTCAGGAGGGATTTTTGTCCACTCTTCAAATATTCTCGAAATCGTTAAGGTTTCTTGGCTGCTGCTTGGCAACTCGAAGTCTTAGCTCCCTCGATAAATTTTCTATGAGATTAAGGTCTGGAGACTGGCTAGGCCACTCCATGACCTTAATGTGCTTCTTCTTGAGCCACTCCTTTGTTCCCTTGGTGGTATGTTTTGGGTCATTGACATGCTGGAAGACCCATCTACGACCCATCTTCAGTGTTCTGGCTGAGGGAAGAAGCTTCTCATCCAAGATTTTGCAATACATTGCCCCATCCATTAGACCCTCAATGTGGCAAAGTTGGTCTGTATCTGTCTGTAGCAGAAAAACAGCCCCAAAGCATAATTTTCCACCTTCGTGCTTGACCGTAGGGAGGGTGTTCTTAGGGTCATAGTCAGCATTTTTCTTCCACCAAACATGGCGAGTCAAGTTAATGCCAAAGAGCTTAGTTTTGGTCTCATCTGACCACAGCACTTTCTCCTAATCCTTCTTCTCTGAATCATTTAGGTGTTCATTGACAAACTGTAGATGGGTCTGTACATGTGCTTTCTTGAGGAGGAGCACCTTGTAGGCACTGCAGGAATTCAATCCATGGCGGCATATTGTGTTTGTTTGGTTTCTTGCTGATGGTCTTGTAGTCCATTCCAGCCTTGTGCAGGTCTACGATCTTTATCCCTGAAGTCCTTTGACAACTCTTTGGTCTTGCCCATGGTGATAGTGAAGTTTGAATGGGAGAAAGAGATTCTTTGGACAGGTGTCTTGTATACACATAACAAGTTGTCATTAGGAACACCTTTTTTAATTGACAGGACTAATCTGTGTACCACATGAGCATATAGCCAGTCTGTGGGAGCCAGAATTATTGTTGGTTGGTAAGGGATCAAGTACTTATTTTACTCACTGAACTGCAAATCAATTTATAGCATTTGTATCGTGTTTTTTTGTGGATTTTTTGGTTGATACTCTATCATTTAAAATACACCTATGATAAAAACTATAGACCCTTCATTTATTTGTAAGTGGGCAAACTTACAAAATCTGCAGGGGATCAAATAATTTTCCCCATTATATGAGATGAAAGTGTAGCCCAAGTGGTAAGAAAATAGTGCCTGTTCACCCTAAATACTGCCATCAATTTCTACCCTGAAGCACCACTTCATGAAAGCCATGGGAATGATGGTGGCCTTAATCATGTCATGTTTCTCTTCCATGCAGGAAGTAGGTACAAGGGGGAAAAAAAAACAACTTGTGTCATAATGCCTAGCAGATGGTTGGCCAGCAAAGTCAGCTAGGTGGTGGTTTCAAAACATAGGCAAGGTCCTATTACATTGTACATTGCTAAGGTTTCATTTATTGGTCTAGCCACTATGTTAACTTGTACAAAAGAAGGTAGAAAATATACTCATCAGTACACACACAAATATGCACGATCACACACGCCCACACCTAGGTGCTTAACTACCTCCTTGTGGCGTTTACACCCTCCTTGCAGAAATATTGTCCAAAGCTTGTCTCACTACTAATATGAAAATCAAGTAGTGTGCTTTTTATACTGTACTACTGTAAGCCATCTCAATATCTGTTCTGTTTCACATAGGCCATTGCCAACCAGTCCTGGGCACAGAAGCTGATGATTGAAAGCCCTGGATTTATGGAATACATTGTAGACAGAACTGTCGACCCAGACAAAGATTCAAAAGATGCCAAATTTGAACTCGTAAACGGTCTGGTGAACTCAAAAACAGTTGCCGAAGTGTTTGGTAATCAGCATTATCTGAGGCTGCGTGCCTATCTGCGGGAAGGACCCTACTACGTAAAAGCTGTTTCTACTGTGGCCGTTGAAGGAGCAGAATAGGTAACGCTTATTGTGAAGGAGAGCAGCCATGAGTCGTCATCAAACCACCTAGTTTTGGCATTGCAAAGATGGATGCAGTTCCAGTGACCAAAACAAAGCACTTAAAATCTCAAACAATTGATTTGTTCTATGTAGAAATTGTATAGAAATATAAGGCTTTATTAGAATCTGGTGCTGTCTTATTTTTTTTTTTGTCTGAGAATTTCTTTCATATTCTCTCTCTCTCTCTTTTATTTTGCAGCTTGCCAATTCTTAGACATGATGTCTGCATCAATTTTCTATTTTAAGCTTCCTTTTTTTTCTATTTTTATCTGGTGATCTACTCAGTAAGTCTGTTGTTTTTCAAAAGAACAAGCTCTCTTCCAGATTTATCACTGTACAGGGATGAGCCATCTACCACTGGCAGGGGTGCTTACAATGGTCAAATTTTATTTATTCATGCAGAACCTTTATCCCAAAAGGAAAAAAAACTGTTTGCTATAATTAATTATAAATTGTGAGCTGGAGTTTGGCTTCCATTTTTCAATTTGTTTCATTACCTTAACATCTCCCTTCTAGACTGACAATGCTGCTGTCTGCTGTGCTCATTCATCCAGAGTGGGGGCACTCTAATAAAGGAGGTTTGTTACTGGAGAGATCATTAGGTGTTTCAGAGGAAAAAAGCTTAAAAAATAAAACTAATGCAACCCTCATATCTAATGATTGGTAAGCTGTAGTATGTTACATTTTTGGTTTTAGGTTTAATACCGCTTTATAGTGAAAGAAAATACAGGCTGTTTACTACACCATTAAAGTGTACTCTTGTGAAAAAAAAAAACTTGCACTAATTCTGATACAGTGATGGTCCATTGATAAGTCAATGAGTTGGTAGCAGGTGGGCTTTTTCTACTGTTTTGTATTGTAGAGCCCCAGGTTGCTGTGACCCTGTATAGTGAATTGGAGCTGGTTTACAGCTGCCTGCTTAGTTTAGTGACTGGCACAGATTTGATTTAATCCCTTATCTTTTATATTTAACCCATTATTTTCAGCAGTGCGTGTAGCTTTATTCAGTTTATATTATATATTTTTAGCTGTTTCACTGTCAGTGCATAAATCTAAAAAATAATTCCAGAGAGATGAAAATCCAGCCTACAGAGTAAAAAGATGAAATCTTCATTATGTTGCTTTCTGAAAAGAATGCGAAGAAGAAGAAAACAAAATGCCGGTCTTCATCTGGACATACATGCAGGTAAAGTTGCACTACACTCACCTTGTAACTATTGCCCTTTGACCAGAAAATGATCGAAAGGACACTGATGTGCACAAACCTTACTTGTATTATCGATGAACCATCACAGCAAAGGTAGAAATGGACAAAGCTAGCTCTGTAATTTACTTGCAGTCAGGTCATTATCCCTCTTACAGAGAGAAACTTTTGCAGCTTTGTGAATGTCCAAACGAAGGCAAGGCTACTGTGTTTCAGAAAACATTACGACACTTAAACAGTTAATTTTTTACAATTTTATAAAACAGAGGCTGCTGGGGAGACGCCAAAATTCAGACTGTTCTTGTGTTGCTAACTCCGTATTTTTTTAATTTTTATAAAACTGGCTACAGTTTTTCTGAAAGAGCTCTGGTATACATCCTTTGTTATTCTGCTGTTCTGAATACAGATAGAGCTTTAATTTAACTTGTAATTCATAATGAGTAAAGAATCAATTCATAATAACCCCCAAGTCCAAAAATGGTCAGATGCTGTGTAAAATCAACATAAAAATGGAATGCAATTATTTGCAAATTTTATTAGCCTATATTTTATTCACAATAGAAAACATATCAAATGTTTAAACTGAGAAAAATGTACCATTTTAAGAAAAAAATAATTTGGAAATTGATGGCAGCAACATATCTCAATAAGTTGGGACAAGACAACAAAATGCTGGCAAAGTAAGTAGAACATTCTGCAATTAATTAGATTGACAACAAGTCAGTAACATGTTTGAGTATAAAAAAGCATCTTAGAGAGTCAGAGTGCCTCCAAAATAAAGTTGGGCAGAAGTTCACCAGTCTGTGAAAAGCTGTGTCTAAAAATTGTTGAACAATTTCAGAATACTTTTCCTCAATTTAAAATTATAGAAACTGTAAATATATAATCTACTGTACATACAATCAAAAGATTCAGAGAATCTGGAGAAATCTGTGTTCAAGGGAAAAGGCCAAAACACAATATTGGAGGCCCATGATCTTTTGGCCCTCAGATGACACTACACTAAAAACAGGCATAAATCTGTGATGGATATCACTGAATGGGCTTATTCTTCCAAAAATCACCGCATGTGAACATAGCTTGCCGTGACATTCAAAAATGCAAGTTAAAGCTCTATCATGCAAAGAAGCTATATCTTAACCACTTGCCTACCGGGCAATTTTACCCCCCCCCCCCTTCCTGCCCAGGCCAATTTTCAGCTTTGCAACACTGTACACCTATGAAATGTATCAATTTTTTTGAGACATAGATCTTTCTTTTTGTGATATTTAATCACCACTGGGTGTTTTTTTGCTAAACAAACGAAAAAAGACCAAACATTTTGGGAATTTTTTTTTTTCTCAGTTTCTGCTATAACGTTTTGCAAACAGGTAATTTTTCTCCTTCACTGATGGGCAGTGATATGCAGCACTGACAGGCTGCACTGATGGGTACTGATGAGGCAACACTGATAAGGCTGCACTGATGGGCACTGATGAGGAGGCACTGATAGGTGGCACTAATGGGCACCGATAGGCAACACTGAAGGTCACTGATAGGTGGCACTGTTGGGCACTGACTGGCGGCACTGATTGGACACAGCTGATCACGTGGTAAAAGGGCGCTGTGATTGGCCCTTTACCACGACGTGATCAGCTGTGTCCAGCGGACACAACGATCACAGAGCTCGACTGGTGCGCGCCCCAGGGGGCACACGGGGAGACTCAGTTCTAGAGGACGTCGTATGACTCCCTCCCAGAACTAGACGACTGCGCTGTAGCCGTCATTCGGCTGTAGCCTGATCATCAAGTGGTTAACATGATCCAGAAACACTGTTGTGTTCTCTGGGCAAAACTCATTTAAAATGGTCTGTTGCAAAGTGGAAAACTGTTCTGTGGTCAGACGAATTGTAATTTGACATTCTTTTTGGCAACCATGGGTGCCACATTCGCTTGACTAAAGAGAAGAGGGACTTTCTGGCTTATCAGCACTCAGTATCAAAAGCCTGTATCTCTGATGGTGAGGGGGGTGCATTTGTATGTATAGAATGCGCAGCTTGCACATGTGAAAAGGCGCTATCAATGCTGAATGCTATATCTAGAGAAGCATCTGCTCCCACCTAGATTACCTCTTTTTTCAGGGAAGACCTTGTATATTTCAGAAGGACAATGCTAAACTGCATACTGCATCTATGACAACAGCATGCCTTCATAGTAGAAGTAGAGTCCGGTGCTTAACTGCCTGCCTACTGTCCTATAGCAAAAATACTGCTACATGGCAGCATGGCTGCGCAAAATCACATATATATTTTGCATCTCTGGGTTGGGGGTGCGCGTGCCCTACCCGCGTCACCATTTGCGGCTTCAGCTGTCGATCAGCAGGTCCGGACGGTGATTCCCCACCAGTACCTGGCGATCACCGAGTATCACTGACAGGGAGAGGTCTGTATGTAAACAATACAGATCTCTCCCCTGTCAGCTCCAGCCCACTGCTTTGTATTGCTCTGCTATGCAGAACAATGCAAAGCAGTGTGCTTACACTGTAAAACACACACATAGCACACAGTAAAACAGCACACAGTTAACCCTTTGATCGCCCCAGAAGTTAACACCTTCCTGCCCAGTATCATTAGTACAGTGTCAGTGCTTTTTATTCGCACTGATCACTGTATTAGTGTCACTGGGGATGGCGCTGATCGCCGCCATTACTAGTATACAAAAAAAGATGCTAGCATATATAATGCCATTTGTAGACGTTATAATTTTCATGTAAACCAAATAATTTATACGTATTGGGATTTTTTTTCAGGCAAAGACATGTAGCAGCATACATTTTGGCCTACATTTATGACGAAATTTGATTTTTTAAATTTTTTTTACTTGATATGTTTTATAGCAAAAAGTCAAAAATATTGTTTTTTGTTTTTTTCAAAATTTTCGGTATTTTTTTTGTTTATAGTGCAAAAAATAAACGCAGAGGCGATCAAATACCACTGAAAGAGAGCTCCATTTGTGAGGAGAAAAAAGGACATAAATTTAATTTGGGTTCAGTGTTGCATGACCACACAATTGTCAGTTAAAGTATCACAGCGTCGTATTGCAAATAATGGCCTGGTCAGGAAGGGGGTTAAATCATCTGGAGGGCAAGTGGTTAAACATTTGATATGTTTTCTATTGTGAATAAAATATGGGTTTATTAGATTTGCAAATCATTGCATTCTGTTTTTATGCAGATATTACACAGCATCCCGATTTTTGACAGTTTGATTAATGGCCAGATTTTTTTCTCATATGCTTCTTAAAATGGATTTAAAAAACTGCAAGTTCGAATTAATTTATATGCGGAATTTAAATATATGCAGCACTTATTGGAAATTTATTTATTCCTTAAATGAAAACGGTACAAAAAAAACATAGAGCCTGCCATGGTTGATTTTATCCTGAAAATACTAGTTGTCTGGCTGTTCTGATTCATTGGCTTTAGTACTTTTTAGTTACCAATCCCGAGCAGGTATGCTAATTTGGAGTTTTAACTTCACTGTTGGCATGCTTGCTGTGGGTCAGTCACTCTGAACCCTGTGGCCCAATTTGGCCCAGTGTTTTGTAGCTCGAAGCTCCAAGAAGTTGAACAAGCAAAATCCCATTCATTTCAGTGCCCACTGTTCACATCTGAATGTTTTGTCACCTGCAGCAAAACACCTGTCTCTCAAAAACGTACATAAGCTTCTTTTCAGGCAGATTGGTGTGTTTTTTGGCCCCTTAGATTTCAATAGGAA